ATATAAGGTAGCCACAATTGATTGGGTGGTTGCATTTATTCCATCATATTTCTCAAACTTTTCTTGAACTTTACCTTTGATACAAGGTGGCTACAAAAATTTTTTGAACTTTGTGACACATCTAAGCCATCAGATTTCACATTTGAGGGTTATAAGTAATTGTGGCCTCCTTGTACCAAAGATAAATGATCTCATTGTATATAAACCCTACTATTTATTACACAATCCTATTGGTTTTTTAATACATCATTCTAATTTATTTTCAAATTTCCTGATTTTGTGAATAAAAATTGTTGACCCTCGAATAATCTCATCTTGATGGTTGCTTGAAGATGGTGCGGACATGGACCAGCTGGTAACAGGCATCCCAGGGATGGAAGGTCTTCTTAGGCTCAGGGACCTCCCAAGCTACTGCCAAGTCCGTGATCTCTTGAACCCGGGCCTCCAGCAAATGCAAGTCGTGACTCGATACTCGGCTAAGGCTCACACCTTGATCCTCAACACCTTTGAGGCCTTGGAGGGGCCAATTCTCGCTGAAATTCGCAAGCACTGCAAAACTACCCGCGCCATTGGTCCGCTCAACGCAATGCTCCAGGCCCGAGCCCCTGATGCGCCTCCTCTGCTTCCCTCCACGAGCTTGTGGCTCGAGGACCACTCCTGCCTCACTTGGCTTGACTCCCATGCCCCCAACTCCGTCCTCTACGTGAGCTTCGGCAGTTACGTTGTCATGTCTCGCGGTCAACTAATAGAATTTTGTTATGGAATTATCAATAGCAGGAAGCCCTTCTTATGGGTCATTCGTCCGGACCTTTTGGCCGGAGACGAGATGGTGCTACCAGAGGAGCTCACAGTAGAGGCAAAAGCACGAGGGCGGTTTGTGGAGTGGGCCCCACAAAAGCAGGTACTTCAGCACCCTGCGGTGGCCGGATTCCTGACTCATAGTGGATGGAACTCGACCCTTGAGAGCCTAGTGGCCGAGGTGCCAATGTTGTGTTGGCCCTTCTTCGTAGACCAACAGATTAATAGTCGGTTTGTGGAGCGTGTGTGGGGGATGGGGTTGGACATGAAGGACACGTGCGAGAGGGTGGTGATAGAGCATCTGGTGAGCGAGCTGGTCGAGTCCGAGGGGCTCCGAACTGCCACACGTGCTATGGCGGAGAAGGCGAGACAGAGCGTGGACCCTAGTGGCTCTTCTTACCTGGAATTCGAAGAATTAGTCAATGATATCAGGGCCATGAGCACATGTGCCATCTAAGTATTTAGCTAGGAGAACAATCTTGACATAACCTCTCAACTGCCAGACTTTATTTCCTTACTTTTATTTCATGATTTGGCGCAACTGCTCTATTATAGCATTGTAAAATAATGAATTGTTTCATCCCTATCTTTTATTAGTGAAATATCAGGTAGGGGGCCTTCTTCCCTACTGACTTACCCAAAAAAAAAAAAAAAACAATCTTTGACGTATTTAGAGGGCCAAATAAGGGATAAAATCGTTTGAAATTATTATAGGCTAATTGTATGGTTTTGTAGTAGGGTTTGGCTTATTTTACAAGATGGGTTTTTGATTGGCCATAGGGAAGATATTGTAGTAATAGTCCTTAGGGATGATTATACTATCTAGTGCTTGTTTGATAGTGTAGACATGACATGAACTCTATAGTCCTGTTTTTTCATACAAGTTGATAAACGTTATGGTATACTTATTTTCATTGTAGAAAAATTGTATTGAAAGTGGATTCCTAATAGAGGCCGATTAAATTTTCCTCCTTGTGGACAATAGTATCTGTTTTTGTTTTGTTTTTTTGGGTAAGTCAGTGGGAGAGAAAGCCCCCTGCCTATTTTTCTATTCATAAAAGTAAGAAGTGAAACAACTCATTAATCTACAAGGGGGCAATGGTATTTGCTCCTTTTAACTGTTGTTTCTTTTTGCAATTACATTTTGAATAACATACATGATGAAAGGGGCTGGTCAACACATATGAATGAGATGAGAATCACTCTGATATATTAGATGTGAAATTTGACTGCAGGGGTATGTTATTGATTGGGCTCAAAGGCCAATATTCAAAGTTTATGACGCGCACTAGGATGTAAGATTTTACACTTGATGGCTAGGAGTGATTGTAATCTCCTTATACTAAAGGTATACAATCCCTAAAATAAAACTGTAAAATTCAAAGGAACCAATGTACTCGATCATCCGGCTTATTCAGAGGAGCCAAACTTACAGCAGCTGATTCAGAGGGGCCAAACTCAACAGAATTGCACTCCTGGGGACTAAATTAAAGTGCTCCAAACTCAATGGGGCTAAACTCGAAGGAATTGTACTTGAGGGGGGTGAACACAACTATAAATGACCATAAATAAAATACATTGGCTAAACTCGAAGGGATTGTACTTGAGGGAGGTGAACACAACTATAAATGAACATAAATAAAATACATTATTGAGTTTTGACGCACATCTTAGTTATATTTTCTCAAAAAAATTACGTGTGCATTCAGCATCACAAGCAAATCTATCCTCATAATACAAAGAAATATAGGAACAAACAAATACCTTACTTGTTCAGTGTACATGAGCACTAAAAACAAAAAAGCATAATAGAAATTATAGAATTGCCTATTCTTATAACAAGAGAACAAGAATTCAAGATAGAAGAGAGAGAGAGAAACTGACATTGTTATCAACGTCGTATAGCTCAATGTTTGGCTGCTCGTATATAAAGTATATACTGCTCTTATATAAAGTATATATTGTTAAGTTTGGAAATAGTCAAAGTCACGACACCTGAGTTTTTCCCATGAAAGTGAGTTGCTAAACAGTCATTCTGAGGTAGCAATCGATTCGGTCCCCACCCAGGACTTGAGGGGTAGACCCGATATGGGTTCTAGTATGAATTCAAAAATTGGACCGATGGGTCAGGTCCGAGTTCAAGTCTTGGATCCGAACACTATTTGAGTCCAGCTCCAAGTTTGGTAATATTCTTCGAGTCCTAATATATGAAATATATTCAAATATAATTAAATACATGGATATTTTAATTTTTAGGTCAAGTCCAGTCGAGTCCAGGTCCCACACAAATTCAAGTGGAGCCGAGTAAATGTCCATTAACATGAAGTGAAAAAACCCTACCATCCATGATAAGGAACAATCATTAGATCTCCCGATGTATTAACATAGGGGCAACCTTTTTATGTTTCCCCTACAACATAAAATTTATATATTTCCCTTTATCCAACCGTCCATTCTGAATGGAGGGCTTAGATTGCTCCAATCACAATGTCATGTCTCTACACTATTTTATTTTTAATTTTCTTCTATAAACTATTTTGACACCAAAATTTGGACATCCAATCCTCTATTAAACTCGTACCAACGAAAAATATATATAAAAAAATATTTTTAATAAAATAAAATGACCAAAATACCCATAGGTTTTCAAGGGGTATTTTGGTTATTATATATTATCAAAAACTTATTTTTAATATTTTTTATAGGTGTGCCGCTATGAGAAGATGGCACGTACCAAATTTCATATTCATACAGTTTGTATAAAAAAATTAAAAATAAAATACTTTGAGATGTCGGATCTAAGATCAAACAATGAGTGACTCTCTTAATCAAAATTGGACGGTTGGCTGGTAGGGGAAGTATAAATCTTCCATGTTGTAAAGGAAATATAGAAAGCTTTCTCTTAACATACACCATACACCGTACATTTTTTGTGTGAAAAAACCCTACCATCCATGATAAGGAACAGTCATTAGATCTCCTGCTGATTTAGCATACACCATACACCATACATTTTTGGTGTAACTTTCCTTAACTATTGTTATTGTACAATATAGTCATAAGCATTGGGTGAAAATGCCCAGACCCTTCTAAAACTTTATCTCGATAAAAAGCACCACTAGGACCCATATGATCATATTGAATATGCAGTCCTCCTAATCATAGCCGTCAATCAATGGGATTGAATGGTAAATGAGAAAGATAGGGAACTAACAAACAAACATGACTTTGGTATTATACTTGCATGATCATACATTTCACATGGTCTTGCATATCATAGGAGATTATAGAATGAGACCTTTGGTACAAAGCGGTCATAATTACTCTTGACCATTAAATGTGAAATTGGGTGGTTACATTTATTTTATAGACCAAACTCAAACTTAAAAAAAAAAAAAATTGAACTTCATGCCATGCCCAAATCATCAAATTTCATTTCATATCAGATAGTTATAAGCAATTGTGACCATCTTGTATCAAAACTAAATAATCTCATTGTATACAATCCCTTCTTTTATTTCCAACTCAGGCACACATGAAATCTCTCAAGAATCAAGATTTCAACTTATTAACCAGAGCCTCAAACGCCTCATAGGAAGAGCCCCCTTTCTCCAGGCTGCTCTCCAAAACCTGCATCAATTCCCTTCCCCTCTCTCTCATCTCCTCCCCTTCTCTCTCCATTAACAACCTCCTCACCACCCTCTCCACCTCTCCTCTCTCTACCTCTCTCCCCATCTCCAACCCAACCCTCCAAACTCCACAAGCCAACCTCGAATTCACCTTTTGGTCCCCGAAACGAGCCCAACAAGCCATGGGCACAGCAGCACACAGGCTCTCGAGCGTCGAGTTCCACCCACAATGTGTCCAAAACGCACCCACTGCTTGATGGGCTAGCACATCCTTTTGAGGGGCCCAGCCCACCACGAGGCCGCGAGAGCCCACTTGGTCCATGAATCCACTAGGAAGCTCTGCCGCATCATACCCATTAACTGAGCCTGGGCGCACCACCCACAAAAAGCGGCACCCACTATTGGCCAAGCCCCATGCTATCTCAGCCACTTGGCTCGAGTCCATTCCCGCTAGGCTCCCAAAGCTTGTGTATATGACTGACTTGGGAGGTTGCGCATCGAGCCAAGAGAGACACTTACTATCTTCTGGCAAGAGATTGAGAGAAATTTGACAGTTTAGGGGACCGATTGCGTAAATGGGGATATGAAAATCATGCTGAATCATTTTGAGAGCCTCATTTTCGAGTGCGGATAGAGAATTCAAAATCAGTGCAGAGGCTTTCTTAGTTTGTTTGGTTAATTGTGAGATACCAGCCCAAAAGCTTTCCAAGACACTGTTATCGGATGAGAAAGCTGGCAGGTCCTTTATTCGAAGCGGTGGTAGTTCAGAAATCCGTTCTTCGGATTCAAAATCTGAAAATCACAAATTGAGACACCAAATTTTCATGTTACTGAATGAGATTGTGGCGTTTGATAGGTGGTGTTGAGAAATCTAGCATTACATAGATGGATCAATGGCAAAAATAATCTTGGCAGAACTACAAATACGGGATGGACAAACCAATTTAAATGGTTTGCTTCTATCGACAAAGCTATGTCAATGTAGAAGATTATGAGAGGTAAGAACGATACTACATGTAGATTGAAAAAATAAACAATAATTGTCAAAAGAAAAAATAAACAACAAACCATTTTTTTGTGAGGTATGAATTGTTGTGTTTTACACAATTAATGATTTGATAAATAGGTTTTGGCCAAAACTAGGTGTCGGGGAGCGCATACTCCCACTCCAGTTGCAATGTAAAACACCGCATAAGCATGGTTCTGCATTATTTTCTATAAGGGATCCAACATTTTTTTCCTCTATCCAAAAATTGATGGTTGGACGAATTTTGTTGGAAAAAACATAGAATTGTTTGCTTTCCCATGTTTTTAGTACGGTGATGCAACTCGAGAATCACTAGAGTGGGATCTATCCACTCTGAATACGTCACTAGCAATTCATGTGATTCCGAATTTTAAAACCCTGGTTTTTCCTATTGAAAGCCCGAACCCGGCTTTAGAAGTACGACTACTTTAGCCAATTTCAATCCCTAACTCCCAAAATATAAGATACATTATATCTAGTTTGATTTTACATGGTATTTGAGGAGGATACAAGACACGAAAAAGCTTATAGAAATTAGGTGTCAATTTGATCATATTGAAGTAAGGTGTACCTCAAAAACCCTCTAGGAGAGAGTTCTCTGATGTTAAAAAATTATGTAAATATCCGTTTTAGTTTCCGTTATTACCAAAATATTGAATACTTCGATTATTACTTATATATCCATTTTTTGGACTTCATAAAAAAATTTAAAAAAAAGATGAAATTGCCTATTTTTTATTTTTCAAAAACCGAAATCAGGCCAATTTCTGTTTTTTAAAAACCAAAAATTTTAAAATTTAGGTTTTACAAGAACAAAAACTTTAAATTTTCAGTTTTTCAAAAACCGAATTTCCTTATTTTCAGGTTTTTGAAAAACTGAAAAATACAAACCCTTCTCTTAAAACCTTCTTCAACAAAACAGCCTATCAGATAATCACAAATTTCATCAGCACATAATTGCAATCATCATGAGCATCAAGCCCATGCCATGGATCTAAACAAATAGAAATATAAAGCCAAATGAAATTTTCTAGCTCGGGCCCAATGCACAGGAATTTAACCTAAATCATATTTGTTTCTCTCAACCATGCAGTCAATCAAGCCCTAGATCCATCAAACTAATCCTTTCCGTATTTTTTAACTTCAACATATGCATCATATTTAAGACAGTACTTTTAATCAACATCCTAAACCAGGCCAAAAGAGGCGCAAAACAAAAATCTGATATCAAGCTGAACAGAAAACACGAATATAGTATCTAGGAGAAACCGATATATCAAGAGCGAAAGAGACACGCATGTAAAGAAAGCGTGAGCAATAAAACAAATGAATAAGTTTTTCAAAACCAGTCAATTTATGGAGAAGAAGAAGAAACTCGTACCATAACTAATTAAGGTTTGATCATATTTCAGGAGTCGACCTTTGTAGATGAGGCGTTGTTGTTATGTTGGTATGTTGGAAAAATTTTGGTTTTTTAAAAATGGGTAGTTTTGTATATCTTTTAAAGACATTGTTACGCAGTTAAAAAAAACAGACATATGAGTAATAAGGGAGGAAAGTATTCAGTATTTTGATAATAATAAAAACTGAAACGAAATATTTACATAATTTTCCCGAAAAAAAATTTCAAATTTTAAATAGTGGATCTTATAACAAATCACTCGAACCGTCTATTTTCAAGTGTTTCTAGATCTACTCGATTTATATTATTTTTAGAATTTTAAATTTTATAACTAAAGATGAAAACATATTTTCAAACTTATCATAAGGTTTTCAAATCTGAAACGGCATCTCTAGGCTAAGTTCACATGTGTACATTATGTCTACAGTATGAGTGGGAAATGTATGAGGATTGAACGGTTGCTAGATGTTCCGGAGAGGGACCACAATGAGATTTCTATGGCCAACTGTACTTTTCGAAGGACCATGAGTAGGCCACGTAAGCATGGATACGATAAAAGATATCATAAGCCCCTAGATAAGAAAAGAGAAAAGGTCGAAGAAAATTCGAATTAGGCGAGGCCCAATCTGAGTCGGATCGGTCAGAGACCGGTGAATAACTTGCTTTTTAATACTTATCCAAAAAAGAAAAACTTACTTTTTAAGACCAAGGGTAACTTATTCACAGTATCAGGACTCGGCCAGTCGAATTGGACTCGGCTAAGTTAGGGTGAGGCCAAGTACCCATGAGTGGTGTATATAACTCGAGGCATTTAAAAATTTCAAATAATAAAAAATTATAAAAATGAAGATATGTAATATAATTTTTTTATATGATTTAGATGTATTTGGTAAAGATTGATGAATATTTTTTTATTTTTAAAATGTATATTTATTTTTAAAATGCATTTTTATTTTTTGCCATAAATCAGGTTCTTTGAATACATTTTTCTCTATTTTTTTCAGCTGGATTAAATTTTTAAATTAGTTTTAAATTTGAATTTATTTTTGTTTATAATTTTAATTTTTAAAATTTTCTCATTTATTTCAATTATTTTAGCGCTTTTTGGCCCTCAGCCAAATCCTAAGTGATTGTGTGGAGTGCCGAGACTTGGCCAGAGACTCAGACCGCCCATGTTGAGGTTGGGATGGGAACAGGCAGGGTGGAAGTCTCTTGCAATTTCGGCAAAATTCGGATTCCCCAAGTTGGGATCATTTGGGGAAGTCTCTTGCAATTTCGGCAAAATTCGGATTCCCCAAGTTGGGATCATTTGGAACTCGCACCGTGACACTTCCTTGTGACTCGATGTCCAAAATTTGAATAATGAGTTTTCTAAACATTGATTTATGATTTTAAGAGCAGGGTTTTGAAACTCCGCTTGGTGGACTCAACACCCTGCAGAGGTGAATTCTTTGAAAAAAAGTGGGTATAGAAATTTTTTTGAAAATTATATAATTTTTTAGAGAAAATTATAGATGAATACTCTCAATTTCAATTTTCTACATATCCTACTTCAAATACTTTTTTTAATTATACCCTAAAAAACGATTATCATATATTCTATTTTTCTAGTTTTTCGTTTGCTTGATATTCTTCAGTTATTTCAAGCTTTTATTTTTATATAAATCAAATATTTATCTGAATTTTGGGCTGTAGGGTTATTTTATAAAGCGAACTCAATAACATTAATTAAAAAATATTTTAAATAATAAAAATGACCAAAATACGCTTAAATTTATTTTGACCAATATTTGTTATTCAAAATAGTTTTATTTCTTTTTATATAAAAAGAAGTTAAATCCCAAATTTCATATTAATATCATTCTTAAATAATAAATTAAAAATCAAAATAAAGTTTATTTCTAGTGAGCCTATTTCAATTTGAACCATTAAAAAGGTCCTAGTGCACCTTGGAACATGTGGACCCAATACCATCCGATCATTTTTTTAGCAGTCATTTCTATATACTTTTTTCACGTCATGCATATAATTAGTGATGCACACCCATCATGCGTATAATAAGTGATGCACAAATTTTTTTAAATTATTTTTAAAATTATTTTTAAAATTATTTTTTGGGTGTGGTTTGTTTAGAGCTCAGGCTCTAAACAATCAAATGATAGCCCACCAACAAATAATATAGCTTCAATAAAAGGTTTATATAGAGCCGAGGTTCTATGCAATCAAATTATAGCCTACCTCAAAATTATCTCTAGAAGAGGTTGTTTGATGTCCAAATATCTTCAAATTGATCATCTTGACATGAAGATGTATGGATATTAGAAAAAAGTGGATTTCAAGATTTGGAAATAGTGCATCTTGTAACACATTTTTTACCGTCAAGTTTCAAGATTTTCAAGTTTTCATAGATCTATTCAAGATTTTCAAGTTTTCATAGATCTACTCGATCTACAGTAATTTTAAAGCTTTAAATTTTATAATTAAAGTTGAAAATATTATTTAAGGCTATCACAAATATTTCCAGTATTGAAACCATATTTCTTGATACTATTTGAAGGTGTGCTTTACCTTGATTGTTTAGAGCGGCTCTATACAAATCGCACCTATAATGAAAATATGTGTGATAATCATAAAATATATTTTCATCTCTAATTATAAAATTCAAAGCTTCAAAACTAGTGTAGATCAAGAAAATCTATAAAAAGTTGAAAATCTTGAAAATTGTTTGCCCCAAATTCATTACAAGGTGCAGTATTTCCAAAATTTGAAATCCATTTTTTTCTCATCTACGTGCATCTTGATGTCGAGATGATCAATTTGAAATAAGTTGAGCATCAAAATAGCTTCTTCTAGTGAAATTCTTGAAATGTCCTCCACTTTTGATTGTTTAGAGCCTCGGCTCAACATAAATTTTTTCCTTTAATTTTTGGCAAATTTTAAGGAATTTTTTACGTGACTCGCCCATCACTCGCTACAAACCGAGTTTTTACTAATGGTTAGGCATGTATCATTGCAGCTCAAATACCACGCAAGGCATGGATAAATTCAAGAAACCTTGATTTCTAGACCTCGTGAAGACTCTTTTATAGTTTCTAATTTTCTACCATAGTTCTGGCACTCGGCCGAGGAAACTTGGACTCGCCTGAAAAAATCACCTGGGCCAAAGGTCTGAGTACAATATCCGAGTACCGAGTCGTGTTTAGGAACATTGGTTTTTATCAATAAAAAGCAGCATCAGATTAGAGAGAGAGATGTCACCTCGAATTGGCAAGTAACCCATTTCATGAAGCTTCTCAATGTTGGCAAAAACCGCAAAAGAAGTGGCACTACTCGTCCTAAACGCCATTGCCTTCAATCCCAACTCTGTACCCACCTCTCCAGCAAACCCCATGATCCCATCATAGAAAAAACCAGCAACTGGGTCCTCTTCATTGAGGCGAGACAGTAGAGAAAACAATGGAGCTCGACAGTTGCTGCTTATTGTGTCCACCAATTTTAAGAGATCGGCACCACCTTTTGGTTGCCAATTGACGGGCAAGCCGTCGTCGATCGGGATGAGGGTGAATTTCAGGGGGGATTCGATTTTGGGTGAGTTGAAATGAGTGTGGGCGATGGTGATTTTGAAGGATGGGTTGAGAGAGAGAAGAGATTGGGCGAGTTGGAGCATGGGGGTGAGGTGCCCTTGGAGAGGGTAGGGGAAGAACACTAGCTGGGTGGGCCGGTGGTCTAGGTCCATGGTCTAGAGAGAGAAAGAGAGAGAGAGAGGGGTTACCTCTGTTTCTTCTTATATGTTAATGCCTAGAGAGAGAGAAGGGGATGTTCTTGGTTTTTAGAGAGAGAAAAGGGGTTGCTTGCTGTTGTTGTATGCTTCTTTGCTTTGTTTCTATTCTTCAATGATATATGAGGGTTTTCTTGCGTGTTTTGTATGCTAACTTTCCTTACTCTGTTTTGTGCGTTTACTTATTTACTCTGGAGGTACAACAACTGCCATGACCCATGTGGGCATGTCGATTATCCATGTCTAGAGAGAGAGAGAGAGAAACATGTGTTTTGAGAGAGAGAGAGAGGACATGTGATTTCAACATGTTTCATGCAGACTCAACTTTATGTAATAAAAAATATTTTTCCCTTTTTTTTTTTTTTTTTTGGGCAGTCATCCTTAAGCTGCATCCAAATAAAATATGGAGTGTCATGAATAATCCAATAATCGCGCAAGAAAAAAAAAACAGAAAAGTAAGTCAACATGTTTCATGCAGACTCTTAAGTCTATGTACTCAGCTTTTTCTCTTTTGTTTTTTTTTTAAGGGCAGTCATCCTCATGCTGATGGCAGATAAGATATGGAGTGGCATGAATAATCCATTAATCATAAAAAAATATAATATATATATATATATATATATAAAAATAAAAGAAGATAAAAAAAGAAAGTCAAGATACTATTTTGTCCCAAGGAACCCCATCTATTCTATGAAAATTTATTAGAACCTCTCGTGCGTTGGATTTTTCTTTTTTATTCAAAAAAGCATTTGACTTTCGATGGATAAAGATGATGAAGATGATGGGTTAACCCAACTTTGTAAAACTTATGATAAAAAAAATGTAGCCCATTACTTGAAGTAGCTCTTTTTTATTCTTTTAAATTCACCAATTCAGTATTTCAAATACCGGACCGACTTGAATGATGAAAGCATTGGGTTGGTACTTAAAAAAAGACCGATTGGAACGATGAAAGCATTGGGTTGGTACTTAAAAAAGGACCGACTTGAATGATGAAAGCATTGGGTTGGTACTTAAAAAAGTTCTAGACCGGCTTGGGGTGAAAATGTTGGTAAAGGTCGATACTTCAAGTATTGGAGCGATACTAATATAGAGGTGGTCCGGACTTTAAGTGCTTGATCAAGTTTTGTGGGGAAAAAAAAGAGTCTTAAATGCGATCATGTACTTTTAAGTACGAGACTGGGGTTACTATATGAAAAAAAATTTGACAAAAAAAAAAAGGAATCGTGTGTAAAATGTCAAAAAAATGGGGAATTACTGTTTAACTCCGAAAAAAAAGAAAAGGATTTATACATTAATTTTCCATTGTTTCTTTTACTTTATAATACATAATATAAAAAATTATTCTCTCCTGTTTCTTTCCCATAATTTTTCAAACTTGTCTCCTGTTGATCCTCAATATCTGCAATAGCCACAAAAAGGTTTTTTGGTTCAAAATAGATTTTGGCGAGACGAGAGAGATTAAAAACGAGCCATATACCTCAATCTTTGCCTGAAAATTTTTTTAGAGAGAGGAACTTTTAAGACCTGAAAATTTTTTTAGAGAGAGGAACTTTTAAGAAAAAATAATTGTGCCCTACATAAGTCTTGTTATAGTTCTTTTATTGTATATATAATGGTAATACAATGAAGTAATATACACTTTCATATTTTGTTACACGGTTATATTATTCTCTTAAAAAAAAAAAAAATTTAATAATGTATATACAAAAATGAAATATATAGTTTTCATAATTGTCATTTATTGTCATTGTATATTTGTGTAGAGATAATATGGTCTATACTAAATTTATATTTATATATAAACCCTTTTAGGGTTTATAGTTTCTCTCTCTAAACTGTTCTTAAGCTCTACATCTTCTCTAAATCTAACATGGTATCAAAGCAACAAAGATCCGATCATCTCTTCTTGATACTACTCACAAATCGCCAAATTGTCATCTCTTTCTGATACTGCTCACAAATCGCCCAAATTTTCAAGGTCAGTAATCAAATAAATTTTATTTTCTCTGTGGATACCTTAATCTCCATCTTCCGTTTACTTTGCCTAATCATATACGATTGGGGCAATCATCAATCTCTCAAATTTTCGTTGCAAAATTTTCATTACAACTTTGCAAACTTTCGTTGCAAACGGTGTTTGGGTTCATTCCCCTTGCCCGATGCCCCGAACCCTCGATCCACTCTTATTCTCTCTCTAAACTTTCACTGCAAATTTGAAACATTCCAAATTTTTCATTGTACTATTCTCTTTCCTTTGAAACCCTCCCTTGTTGTCTTCATCCATCTTTTTCCCATGAACTCTTTTCTTGCTGTCATTGTAGAACAAGGGCTATTAACCCATTGTCCTGGTATTTATCCATTTCACATCCGTTTTATTTGTGCCTACTCTCTCTTCCTCTAGTATTTGTTGTTCACTTCGTTTATATCCACGCCTACCCATCTGTCTACTGTTTAATTCGTATTGATATCATTCACTTCCTTTGCAAGCATATTAATTTGTATTGATATCATCCACAGTCTATTTTTTTTTTCCAGCAAAATTTGTCCGTCAAAATTTATCACGCCAAGTTTGGCTCGTCCAATCCTACACAATTGATCACTTTGTGCTTGCAAGTTTTTACTTGACGTTTCTTTGTAATGCTTTGCAAGCTGTTGTGCTCTCCCACAGCAACAGTCTTTCGTTGAACCTAGCAATTTGCAGTTGTCATCCATCCTCTTAGCAAACTTTCTTTCTCTCTAAAACAACAACAAACAAAAAAATAATGGCCCGAGTGTTACTATTTATGTGTGTCTTGATGGGAAGAACTACTACTTGTGCTCTTTCCAAATGACACGTTATCTCAAGGGAATGAAGTTATGGAGTTCCATTGGTAGTTTTCTTCGTCTTCCTAAGGAAGAGAATGGGCATAGTGATTGGCTTGCCATAGATAGCTCTATTGTAACATGGATTATGAACTCAATTGAGCCCAAAATTGCGCGTAGCCTCATGTACCAATGCCAAAGCAATGTGGAATTATTTACAGAATAGGTGGAATTATTTACAGAAGATTTATTCTCAAGCAAACATTGCTCGTCTGTATACCCTTAAACAGGAAAGCATGAAGGCACAACAAGGGGACATATCAATTCAAGATTATTTTAATAGTCTTTCAAGTATATGAAATGAGATGGACTCGATGGAGATAGAGTCACCTACTGAAGCTATTACTAAAGCACGAATTCGTTCTCGTTTATTTCACTTTCTTATGGGGTTGCGATCAGAGTTTGAAAGTATGAGAGCATCAATCCTTCATCGTACTCCCACACCACTGTTAGATGACTGCCTCTCAGATCTCCTTGCTGAAGAAACTCGATTACGCTCTCTTGGGGATTGCAAATCCACATCACAAGACATCATTGATGTGGCCTTAGCTACATCCAATTTTCCTAACAAAGCTACCAATTATGTCCAAGTCCAATGTTACATATGCAAACAAAGAGGCCACATGCCCGATCGGTGCAAAAAGCGTATTTTTTGAAATTATTATAAGAAGCTCGGGCATGTAATAAATGATTGTCGAAAACGACCTCAAGCACATGGGAAGCCTCCTATACCCAGTCGGACTCAATGGGTTGCAATCGCCTCCATTCCTCATCCCACCAGCATAGAGGATGCCATTCCAGTAACTCTTATTCTGCCTCCATATATGTTACCCCTGTATCCATGCCAGATCTTCACTCTATTGACTCAACCACACTCCAACAATTTGCTCAGGTTTTAGCTGTCATGGGTTTTTCAGGTAACTCAAATCTTTTATTAAATACTTGGATCATAGACTCAGGAGTATCAAATCATTTGACATGATAATTTTCACATTTATCCTCGGTAAAACCCCATTCAAAAAATATAACTTATTTATTGCTAATGGGTCTCCACATCATGTTACCCACATTGGTAATACTAGTGTCTCTGGTCCATCTGGTAACTTTTTAGCATTGAAAGATGTTCAACATATTCCCAACTTTCTTTTAAATTTAATATTTGTTGGCCAGTTAGTTGATAACAAGTGTCTTGTTTCTTTTTCTAATAAAGGTTGTGTGCTACAAGATCTAACAACCGGGAATGTAATTGGTAGAGGCACTAAGCAGGGTCGACTTTTTATAGTTAGTTTCAGCGAAGCTCATTTCCATCTTTGACAACCTCTACCAATTTGTTATCTTTCCCCTTCTCCTCATGAAATAAGTCCATCAAATTCTCTTTGGTATGTTTGGCATCGTAGGTTAGGACACCCACATTCTCAAAAAATGCTTTCTCTTTTAAACTCTGGGCTTTTACCTACTGCCTTCTCTCATAGAAAATTTGATAAAAATATTGTTTGTGAGAGTTGCAAGTTGGCAAAACACTTGGCTCAACCTTTTCCTCATGGCAATAATAAAAGTACACATCATTTCTCTTTAGTGCACTTTGATGTTTCAGGCTCTGCTCCTATTCCTTCAATTAATGGATTTTCTTATTATGTGATATTTATAGATGATTTTTTCTAAATATACTTAGATTTATTTTCTCAAACACAAGTCAAGTGTATTTAATGTTTTTAAGGACTTCCATAATATGATAAAAAATCAATTTAAGAAAAACATTAAAGTTTTTAGGTCTGATTCTGGGGGGAGTATCTATCCAATGAATTTTAAATGTATCTTCGTACAAATGGCATTATTCATCAACGTTCACACGTCTACCCCGGAGCAGAATGGAGTTGCCGAAAAAAAATATTGTCATATTCTTGAAACCACTCGTTTTCTTCTTATTAGTTCTCATTCCACAAAGAACATTTGGGCTGAAGCGATGTCTACTGTTGTCTATTTTATTAAACTTCTTCCTACACCGATTTTACAAAATGTAGCACTATTTCAAAAGCTTTTTCAAAAACCCCCTGATTACTCACATTTACGTGTGTTCAGGTGCACATGTTTTGTGTTTTTACCATCTTCTACCCGTGATAATCTATCGCTCTAAACGTGGTATTTACATCCATCAACAGAAGTATGCATTTGATCTTGTTTCTAGTGCCCGATTGAATGATGCGAAGGTTGTTGATACACCCATGAAAGTTAATGTTAAACTTTCTA